GAACAAATGAACTAGATAATTGAATGGGATTTTAAAAATGTATTTTAATAGAAACATCAGCAATTTTATCTTGTAAATTAGTTTTTCTTCTAAAGAAGAACCTGCTTTTCCATGAGTTGCTGCTGCTTGCCACTATTTAGAATTCTTAATGTCTCTGGAAGTCTTTGAAAATGTGATAGTTGACGTGCCTAATTTAATAAAATATAAAAGCAAATAGATATCATTCATTTAAAAAATAATTGTTTTATTTAATTTTACTCATTACCGTTATTATTCTTTAATGTGACCAGAGAAAGAGAGAGAGAGAGGAAAAGTGGAAAAGCAACCCACCCAATCCAGGGCTCGAACTGTGGTTGGCCATGTGTGAGTCCAATGCTCTAACCACAACGCTACCCGTTGGCACTGATAAAATTCGTTTTGCTCCCGTGGTTTATAATCGGTAATACTGAAGAATAGGTGACCTAAGTTTTTGGAGGGGTTTGTGTTTGATTTTTAGGGACTGGACCTCTGTAAAGGCAGGTACCATTTAAGATCTTGTGATATCAGTGAATCACAGCTATGGGGAGTAGTTACGATCTGTGTGATCTAATGCTGATATTGGCAGCTGAGACCTCAGTGAAGTAATGCAAAATAGAGTAGAGAACAAGTTTCTGAGAAATCACCGAACAGCCCAGCGTGGGTGTGTGCACTCTTACCCACTTTGGGAAAAGTGAAACTGTCATATGCAGCTCTTCTCTTACCACCTAGAAACTCAAGGCAGGGCTTACACATTTAAACCACGTCGGGCAGTGATACTGGTTTCTAGTATGTAAGGGTCGCTTATATTTTTATTTTCCTTTCCATCTTTTCAGTGTTTAAAGACACACTACTTAACACATGAATTCAGAACATTTCAGTGTGTTTCTTGACACTTGATTATCCTCTACTTTTAGCAATTTAATGGTAGGGGAGACCGTTTATTTAGATCTGTTTTAAGCATTCATAACCTTTGACTCTTTTTGTAGCAGTAAGTACTATAGACCCTTCAGTGTTAAGTGCTGTTTTATCTTTTCTCACACACAAGGGCCATTAGTATTTTTATTAAACTTGTCTAATACTCTAATAATATTGAGGTTAATTTTCTGTCCACTTAATATAATCAATCATTTTTGTCTTACTGTGGACTAAAGTGAATTACCATGGAATTTTGCCTTACTTTTCATTGACACTTTCCATGTGAAAATGGGATTGGTAACAGAGTACATAGTAAAACGTGCAGTGAAATAGACGTAAGAAGCCTCACTTAATAATGCTATTAAGACGCTGGGGGGAACCATCAGATGACGTAATAGTTACGTTGCTGGACTCCCATGTGGTCGATTACAGTCTGGGTCCTGGATCCAGCAGCCTAGAACTCATGCTGAGTGCATGTGTGTACGTGCCCAAGAACAGAGGAGAGGGGTTGTGCCTGGCCGTCCCCTTGGAGGGTGGGGAATGGGGCGTGACTTCTCGCTTTGTGTCTCCGGTGAGGGCATGTGCCCTAGAACAAACAGAAAAAGATGTTAGTAAGATGGGTGATCTGGGCTTAGTTGTTGGAATTTAGCAGAGCTCAGTTTCCTATCTGGAAATAAGGGTGTCAGGCTAAATCATCTAGACCTAGTTCTTATGTGAACATTTCAGATGGAAATCAGCGTGTCCGCGTTTTTGTAACCACGCCAAGTGGTATATGTGTATTTGTGTGTGTGCGGATACATGTGTGTAAGAATGGCCATTTTGTCCGGAAAAGAATTTTCAAGATACTTTTGTTGTATATAGTGAATATTAGATTTATGAAAGCTATAAAGAATTTTAAACTACAAATCTAACATTTTAAGTCATTCATAACAGGTTTTTTTTTTTTTTTCATAGCTTAAGGTCCATATATTGTAATTTGCACCAAAAAATTTAGTATTCTTTTTTTTATTTTAAATTTATTCATTCTCTACATTAATTCACTATACACCATCACAACACACAAATGAATTTTCCACCCAAAACACACTGTGCATTGGCTCAATCAAGCACATTAACATACATGTTCTCAGCAAATAATTTTCCAATTCTTATGTCCTGCATACCTTGCCTTTTGTTTTGCCATCCTAGATTCCCCATCCCCCACCCTCTGCCATGTCCCATCCTCCTCGCACATTGTCCCTGGCATCCACGGT